AACTATAGCTACATTTCATAATTTTGAATTCCTTATATCCAGAGTTCGCAATAAGACAGATTGCTATATTCATAGTCAACTGTACTATCTAATCCAGGACCCAACAGAGGAAATCCATTAACATTATAACGTCACATAATCCCAATAATGCTTGATTTGTATCCATGCTATATGCACATTTTCCAAAATTTCGGGAAAGTATCTATCGTCGTTGTGCTTGTATTTACTAAATCTTGCAAAAAACCTTAATAAAAAAATTAATTTGTCATGTGTTATAAAGACTTTACTTCGATTATTAGCTGATTCGTTGCTAAGATATCTGGAAAATAATTCTTCTAATGCATTATGAGGTAAAAATAGATAATCCTGAAATTCGGTCATCGGGTAGAGAGTTTTGCAAAAAACGAAAAAGTGAAATAAGAAAAAGAAAGTAGTCAATTTATTACGACGATATGATATAATTTATTTGATTATTGTGTTAATCGATTATTATTGCATCAAATTAAAATATGCTGCTTTTAAATTTCGATTTCTGTTCCAACCAAAATAGATTCTAAATCTATAATAATTCCGTTCCATCATACAATATACACTTATGCTCATAATAAATACTTGCCTAAGTTTAGTATGTCGGTATTTCTTGAGATTCTTTTACCGAAATATTAATATTCGATTAATAGTAAAGGTAAAATAGTTTATTATTAATTTGTTACTTTAGAAGTACATGTCAGGATTAGAATCTTTAAAATAGAAGAGACGATCTATTTTCGCTTTGATTTTAAATAAAATATAAATTTCAGTTATCAATTTCATGGTTCGATTATTTCTCAAATAAAATACAAAATATTATAAGAATATTACTTGCTTTCTGATCTCCTTAATCCCATAGTTACCTTGTTATACTCTCTAGTCTCTTTTAACTCTATTTCCTTTCTCATATTTTTAAGGAGTGTCGAGTCATTTTAATTAGTCCTTATTTGATTCGAATAATGTGGGTACAGTTATTTAGACTCCATCTATCTATCAGTAGTGGTTCCGTAATAAATTTCTGCATTGGAAAATATCGAGATGCAATAAATGATTTCTCACTTATAGGATTTATATTTATTTTTGGATTATTATTGTAATTATTATTATTATTATTTTGTGAGGAAGATTTTGTGAAGATATATATATACTCTAGATCATGTACTTCTAGATCTAACGATTCATACTAATACCTCTTGTGCAGTCGGTTTATAAACAATTTATGCTTGATAACTTTATAGCAGGAGATTAATAAAGTTTTATACGAAAAGTAAAATAAAAATTTTCATGTGTCCAATACATGCAGTTATTACACACAATTTATGATAAAAAAATCCGAAAATTTATAATATAAAAGGACATCGCTTATAATATTAAAATAACTTATTCAATCATAAATATTATTCCTAAAATGATTATTAATCTTCAGTAATGTCAACAGGATCAATTGGTTTACTCGAAAGTATTCTCATATTGTCAGAAATTTTACTATCCACCGGATCGCTAATTAACATTTTTGAAAACCTTTTAGTAATCTCACGCACATCAATATGTTTACTTGTGTACATATATTTTGGATGTTTTTGAGAATTAGAATTCGGTTTCATGTTATCTGCCGCCAAAAATTGCTTTTTGATTATATTTTTATCACTTTCACTCACAAGTTCTTCGAACCAAGCAGTTACAATCGCGTTTATATACCTAGCATTAGGTCTTTCTTTCGACTCTGAATCAGTGCATCGCTTAGCCAATTCGACATAACATTCTGGGGTTCCAAAAGCAATCTTGGGTCGTTCACCTTGAATTACTCTTAATGATAATTCATCATCAAATAATTCACCATCAAAAGCCCTCTGTCCAGTTGATATTTCCGTCATAATAACTCCAAAGCTGTAAATATCAGCAGACTGTGTAAATTCTTGGCCTAATAAAACTTCTGGAGCGACATAAGGTAAAACACCGACGATTGATTCGTTTCCATTTTTTTCAGATGATGTTAGACCTAAATCTGCAATATACGCATTATCAATATCATCTTGCAAAATATTTCCACTATGCAAATCTTTATGAACGTAGCCTTGAGAATGGATAGCTTCAAGATCAGATGTTATACAACTCAAAAGATTTAATTTTTTCTACCATTTCATTAAAGATACTTCATGAAGATTTTCACGTAAGGAGCCCTTTTCTGCATATTGCAAAACAAGATTATAATTTTTCGAATCGTCTCTTGATAGTCCATAACATTTTAAGAACGATGGATGTTTATAGCCGATCTCACAAAACGCTTTTAACTAAAATATATTAATATATATGAGTTATAAATCTTTAATATTAAACGATATTTAATTATATTACCTCGTTAAAAAAATACTGATCATGAATTTTTTTAATTGCAAACGAATATTTATCAGAACTATTCTTGTAATGAATTCGACATTTAGCATAATAAACAATTGCGAATCCACCCTTCCCAATCTCTTTAATCTCTTCAAATTTATTATACGGAATCCATAATAATTGATACCTCTTGTCATCCAATATTTTTTTAATATTATCATTAATATCGAAATATGAAAATTTTTTTATATCTATTTTATTATTATTAAAAAATTAATGAATATGAAAATTTCAAAAAAATAAATTAAAAGCGAAAAAAATACCTTGAAATTTATTTCTCTCCCTATAATTATATAATTATTAAATATATACAAATATAATATATTTATTTATATATTTATTTAAAAAAGACTTACATTCGAAACCAATAATCAGCCTCTTTTAAATCCTTTCTTGTTCCAATGCCATTTCGATAACAATATCCAACATTTCTTATTCCATCAATATGATCCAAGTTCGCAGTTTTTAAATATAATTCGAAAGCTTTTTTCAAATCTTTTTTAGTTCCAATTCCATTATGATAACAATATCCAAGGTTATATATTGAATTAATTTCTCCCATGCTTGTAGCCTTTTGATAATAAAAAAATGCCATATTTCCATCTTTTTTAACTCCTTCTCCTAATCGATAACATTCTCCAACATTATTCATTCCACTAGCGTTCCCCATCTCTGCAGATTTTTGATAATAAATAAATGCTTTATGTTCATCTTTGTCAACTCCAATTCCGTGAAGGTAACAATATCCAACATTATTTATTCCACTGGCATTTCCCATATTAGCTGATTTTTGATAATAAATGAATGCCTTATGTTCATCCTTTTCAACACCAATTCCATTTCGATAACAATATCCAACCATATATACTCCCCTAGCGTTCCCTATCTCTGCAGATTTTTGAAAATAAATGAATGCCTTATGTTCATCCTTTTCAACTTCAATTCCTTTAAGATAATAATGTCCAACATTATTTGTTCCCATAGCATTCCCCATCTCTGCAGATTTTTGATAATAAATGAATGCCTTATGTTCATCCTTTTCAATTCCAATTCCGTTTCTATAACAATTTGCAACATTATATATTCCAATAGAATTACCCATCTTTGCAGATTCTTGATAATAAATGAATGCCTTATGTTCATCCTTTTCAACTCCAATTCCATTTCGATAACAATATCCAACATTATTTATTCCATCAGCGTCTCCCATCTCTGCAGATTTTTGATAATAAATGAATGCCTTATGTTCATCTTTTTCAACACCAATTCCTTCTTCATAACAATATCCGACCTGAGATATTCCATCAGGGTTACCCATTTCCGCAGATTTTTGGTAATAAATAAATGCCTTATGTTCATCCTTTTTAACTCCAATTCCACTTCGATAGCAATATCCAACATTATTTATTCCAAGAGCATTTCCCATCTCCGCAGATTTTTGATAATAAATGAATGCCTTATATTCGTCTTTTTCAACCCCAATTCCATTTCCATAACAATGTCCAACATTATATGTTCCATTAGAGTCTCCCAACTCTGCAGACTTTTGATAATAAATAAATCCCTTATATTCATCCTTTGCAACTCCGATTCCATTTTGATAAAAATATCCAACGTTATTTGTTCCAAGAGCATGACCCATATCAGCAGATTTTTGATAATAAATGAATGCCTTATGTTCATCCTTTTCAACCCCAATTCCTTCTTCGAAATAATATCCAACATTAAATACTCCATAAGCATGCCCTATCTCTGCGGCTTTTTGATAATAAATGAATGCCTTACGTTCATCCTTTTTAACTCCAATTCTATTTTCATAACAATATCCAACCTGAAATATTCCATCAGCGTGTCCCATCTCTGCAGATTTTTGATAATAAATGAATGCTTTATGCTCATCCTTTTCAACACCAATTCCATTTCGATAACAATATCCAACGTTATATGTCCCAGCAGCATCTCCCATTTCTGCAACTTTTTGATTATGATAGAAAAACTTGTAATTATCTTTCTTAACTCCTCTACCGTAATAATAACATTGTTCAACTTGAAATATTCCATCAACATAATTCAGGTCCGCAGCTTTCTGATAATATTCGAAAGCTTTTTGTTCATCCTTCTTAACGCCATCACCGTGTTCATACTGTGAACCTTTGTAATAGAGCTCCTCACCTGTCAATATCATTTCTTTATAAATTGGATTTGCAAAACCATTTACATATTTGCACTATTTATTGTCCGAGGCGTAGCGAGGACTAACTATGTTTGATCAAAACTGAATGCACGTCTATGCAATGTATGTCAGAAACATTCAATAAAAATTGAGAATTGTAGGTTCCTGTGAGGAGGAAAATTCATTTTGATTGGCCATGTGACGATCATCGATTTTCAAAGATAGGCAATCAAATTATGCCAAATTTACAAAAAATGCAATTTTTGAGCAACTTCACTCATATGATAACTATAATATTGCTTTGATTTACTTATCGTTATTCAAACTAAAATTCATAAGTATTTTTATTGCGTGTATCGAATGTTTTGCCAAGTTTTTATAACTCTAAATTTTTACTAATTTACCAATCACTAACAGTATTGAGTCCCAGTAAAAAAGCGTCGTCCTCATCAACTTCCTCCGTATCTTTCTCTTGCTCTTGTTTTTCTTCTTTGGTAAGTGTATTGGATCCTTTTTCTAAATGTTTTTTAAAACTTTCAACATTAGAGTTAATGCTTTTTTAAAAGTATTCTTTACAGTGGCGTCAGCAGTACTCGATTGTTGTGCAACAACTATGATGATAACCATGCTCACAAATTAGAACTTCATCACCATTTAAAAATTTATGAAAATGATTACACAAGTTTGTTTTTGGAGGAACATTTGAACTATAATTTGTAGATAGAGTTTTGTTAGAGGTTTTTTTAAATTTTTAATCTTATCTGTAAGTAAGCATTTTGAATCACAATTTTATTTTTATTTTTTAAATATTAAGGTGAATATTTGCTTTTAGGATTTTATTGACAGTACATTCAGTTAATTGTTGTATTACAACTATAGAGGGAAACCATGAAAAGAGTGTATAACTAGTCACTTATAGAACTTTAGTCATTGTCTAATTTAAGTAGTCTCAAAGGTTCTACACTAGTTGTTATTTCTGAAACCTGCTTGTAAGTTTTTTATTTAAACACTCTAATTCTTGTATTCACCTGCTCACATATAGCTATTAATAATTTTAGTCAATTTTAATAAAAATATATCACGATCATTAAGTTTATAAAGCAGTTCACTCACATAAGAAACTTTTGAACTTGTTCTAAACTTTTCAAAATCTTCTATATCTCATTCTTATCATTAATCCAGTTATATTATAATTGAACTTAATACTTGCAATTAGAAGGTATTATTAAACTGTTATGTTCTTATAAAGTTTACTTTAACTCTAGTACTTACTTTACAACTTATTTCTATTACTTTGATATTCAATTCAAGTTTTATTAAGTTCTCAGTTTAGGTAATCTAGAAAAATAGATACAATCATATTTTTGGTATACATATTCTTTAGTATATAATCTTTTTTTGAAACCTTTTTTAACATTTTGATGATCTGGTTGACTATTATAATTCTTTTTTAAAATTAGCATATTATCTAGTTTTATAAGTTTTATTTATGTTTTCTTAATCTAGTCTTTAAAATAGTACTGTTAAAAGTTTAAGTTACCTTTTTATTTAGGTCTTTTAAGTATATTTTTATTTCTAATTCTTATGATTTATACAGATATAAGAATTTATTATAGGTTTACATTGCCTAGTACTAGTTTGTGTTTCTTTATATAAGATACAACTATTGTACAAATATTATGTAACCTTTCAGTTATACTGATATAATATAAATAACATATATTTGATTTTAACTAATAATAAAAGATAATTAATTATAATACAAAAAGATTTTTAAATTTTTATTAATGTTGAGATTTAATGTTTAGATCTGTTATTTAAAAGTTAATAACAAAACTATTTTACTATATTGCTATGTATCTTGAACTATAATTTCATTTATTATTATTAAATAATATTTAAATTATTTTTTTATAAAGTTTGTTTTTTTTACAATTTTTAAAAATTTGGCACAGAATCACTTGAAGCCTCATGGCACAAAATTCAAAAAAACATTATTGCAGCTGCTTTGCAACATATTTCTAACAAAAAATTTACAGTTCGGAACTTTCAACATATTTTCTTTTTCAAGGCATCTAAACTACATTCATGTCTTAAAAAACTTGGCAATATTATAAGACAGGCCAAAGACTTAATTCAAAACCAAACTACAATGATTACATCTCACAATCAAGTCATTGATCAGCTTAACTCTCTGTATCATCTTAATATATTTGTTCTGTCCTATAATCTTAACCTTTTATTCAACTGGATAACTGCAGTCAATATTGAATAAAAAACACTCTACCATGTTCATAACCTGGAAAATATTAAAAATATAAGAGAACAAATAAATGATAACATAAATAAAAGATGTAGTAAACTTCAAAACAATTCAATATCAATGATTAATAGTATACTCAATTGACACAAAGATCTTGTTAGATTTGATAACATTAAAGAACAAAATGATATTATTACTGAACCAACTCTTATCAAACAGCATATTCAACAACACTTTGATGACTGAACAGCTCCTAGAAACATCCAATCACAATTATTTGACATAATGTGATAACAAGAATACCAACCTAAACCTAATATTAACTCTACATAGTATTAAATAGCACTTAACAAATTTTCCTCAACAGAAGTCTTTGAAGTTATTAGTCAACTTTCAAACAACAAAGTATATGAGCCATTAGACATTAGCTATAAAATGCTCAAATATGTTGGAACACTATTTCTTGATACAATCACAGCTCTCTTTAATTGTTGTCTCATATCTGGACAAATTTCAAATTAATAGAAAAAAGAAAGAATTTTTTCTATTTCCAAAAAACCTATTTTTGATAGCAATTTAACTAATACCAGACCTATTAGTTTGCTTGAACATGTTAAAAAACTCTACACCAAACTTTTTACTAACCAACTTAACTACATCTTTACTCATTACAAAATTTTATCACTCTTTAACTATATAGCTCTACCTGGCAATAATATAGCTATTCCTATACACATTCTTAACAACATTATTAAAGAAACTGCTTGTAATTCTAAACAGCTTTGGCTCCTATCTTAGGACATGAGCAAAGCTTATGACTCTGTAGACCTAATACTTTTTACCAAATCCTTATTATATCTAAACATGTCACACAATCTTATTAACATTCTTACCAACTTGTTTACTAATCGACATAACCGAGTTATCACAAATTTAGATCTTACTAACTCATACAATGTTAAAAATAATATCAACCAAAGAGAAACTATAACTTCTTTATTTTGGAGAATCTATTATAATCCTTTAATTAACAAAATAGTCACAGACTTTTCAGGATACACTTTGGCTACAAAGTGGAATACTAGTCTGCTTCAGCCAAAGCCTCAATAACTTCAAACCTCAGTATCTGTATTAGCATACATGAATGATACATTTTGGATAGCCAAATTCAAAAAAGAATTACAAACAATTATTGTTATAGCCACTTTCTTTTACCATATAGCTGACATACATATTAATCCAACTAAATTAATTCTTATCTCAAATACTTCATCCACAGCTTCTATTCATTTCTTTAATTCATCACTTACATCTACTCCTGCCAACCAGTCATTTAAAGTCCTAGGATGCTGGTTTACTCTTAATAACTCTTATACAAAACAAAACCAACTAATCTATAATGAAGCAATCTAACTCATCAACATTACAGGTACCAAAAGAATTACAGACAAATAAGCTATATATATTACCAACATAATAATTATTCCTACTATCAAATACAGATTAAACAACATAATTCTCAAACATTCTATCTGTGACAAAATCCTATTTAAATACCTTACTATAATTAAATATAAAGCCAAACTTTCTTGCACTAGTCCTAATAGTACCATGTTAAATCCTCATATATATAATATATATAATATTTGAAACATCCAGTTACAACATCATATATCTTGCTTTCAACAAAGAATTAACAACTCAGAAACACTTGGCATCTCTATAAAAATTAGATTACAACAACTTCAAAACAATCTTTAGTCTACTACTAATATTCTTCAGCACAACCAACCACTTATTGATGGACCCAACAAACTTATACTTAACTTTAAAATTATACAACTTCTACAGCACTTGGACATTTCAATTTTAGCAAATTTGAATGTCTTGTGGCCTAATACAATTCATGATAGTTACCAACCACTAGAACCTATACTTACCCAACATTCTAAATACAATATTTTTAGAAAACAATTTCAGAAAAACAACATACTCTACTTAGAACCATTATGTACTGCAGATAACAGTACTCTACTCAAATGGCATCATCTTTCATCCAGACTTCATCACCTAACTAAAGGAAGACAACCTCTTTAGTTCACCTATCTGGAAGACACAATCTTGTCTGACAGACTACACTATCTAATTCTTTCTCATTTTTAACCATATGGAATTAATGCCTTTGCATATAACACTTTACCTATTAAAAAATAGTTGAAACTATGGTTATTTAGATATAATAACAATAATAAAGAGATCATTATTAGCAAAATTCGCAAATATTTCCTAAACACAAATCAATTCTCTATTTCATACTAAAATGCTAATATTGATTTAGAATATAATCATTACTACCTTCTTCCAGACCTAAACTGCATACCATGTACTGGATGTCATCTTAATTCAAATAGAATTAATCAGATATATACAATTAATGTATCAGCAACTATTTGTACCAGCTTTCTGAAAAGAAAAACCTCCAAACTCAAACTTAATGCTAACTATCTGGATCTTATTTACTCAACAGCAATTAAACATTCTTCATAAATTCTATATAATTATTCTATTATCAATATATCAAATTCAACTATTACTGAAAATTTTAAACCTAATGAATGTTCAAACAAACTTAAAGAAATTTTTCAAAGCAATCTGTCATATAAGGAATTCATTTTTTATACTAACAGATCAGTAACTGATATTGGAACCAAACAAAGCTCAATAAGCATTTTTTTTTTTTTTTTTAATATTAATGGTGAGGCCATGCCTCTATCTTTATTGAATATTT